CCCAAAGCCCGTGCCTGCGACCCCGAAGCCCGTGCCTGTGACCCCGAAGCCCGTGCCTGTGACCCCAAAGCCCGTGCCTGTGACCCCAAAGCCCGTGCCTGTGACCCCGAAGCATTCTCCCTGCTTCTCCTTCTAGCAGAGTTTAAAGTCTTATATTCTGGTCTTTGATCCAGCTGGAGTTGATTTTTTTTGTGTGTGTGTGTGCACGCTGAAAAATAGGAAACTACTTTCATCCCTTTACTTGTGGCTATCCAATTTTTGGCACTAACTACTTCTGGATACGGTGCCTGCTCTGGAGTGTGGTAGATATACCCAGTAACATCCTACTGGAGAAAACTGAGTTTTTAAATTTTCCAATAGGCATCTTTACAAATAGCTTCTTGGTTAGGAGTGGGACTTTGTGTCCACGTCCCCTTCTCAGTGTGGGACTGTGTGGTTTGAACCTGTGCAGGCCGCCTGTGCGCTGGAACGGTCTCTGCAAGTCCAGATGTGCATCAGGCCTGTAGCATCTGGAAGACACTGTCCTTGGTGTCGTCTGTTCCCTCCAGCTCTTACTCTCTCAGCCGCCTTTTCTGTGTGACTCCCTGAGCCCTCCGGAGGAAAGATATTCCAGTTAGAACTGTGTGTTCCAAGGTCTCTGACGCTCTATACGTTGCTCGGTTTCTGCGTTTATTACCACATAATGCAAGAAGAAATTTCCCTGATGAGGGTTGGTGGATGTGTGACTTATGGGTATAATAACATATCTTAGGTGTCGTTTTATTGCTAAGTTCCTTTAGCAGAATAATAGTAGTAGATTTCCCCCTAAGCTCATGACCTATCTAGTCTTAGATTCTTGGCCACTTTTGCAGTGTCCTATGTAGGTTCCATATCATGGAGTAGGCCTTAAATCTAATTCTAAAATGGTTGGTTACTCTCATGACATTTTCTCTGTTGTTCTCTGTTGTTCATGGGGTTGTTTCTGGGTGAAAGAAATGATTACTTTTCTCCTCTGGTGGAGGGTAAAATGAATGCTATTTGTATTCAGCACCATAAGTACTGTTTCGTCATGGTAAAGCTTCTAATGAGGCACCAGCTCCATTTCTCCATGTTCGTTGACATAAGTAAATTGTGTCTTCAGCATTAGGGTCTTACCATCAGTGGAGAGAGTCACCAACAGCCTTGGCAGTAGCCTATCGTGTTGGATGGTGGTGGTGTGGTTAATGGGAACCTTGGGTGGAGGTGGTCAGCGGCTTCCTACAACAGCGGCGGTAGGGGCTATGGGAGTCCTTTGGCCAGTGACTCAACAATATGTAACCAGGTGTTGGAGGTTTTAATTGGTGGTGTAAAATATCTAGTTGGGACATTGCCTCCTCCACTATATGGTGACTTCATTTAAATTTCATTCATATATGTATATTTTAGGAAGCGTCTGCCATAGCAGGTTCTTATAGGGCTTTTCAAAGGGCCTTTAGCTGTCTGTCTCCATATTTCCTCCTTTACTCTATCCTCCCGTTCCTCCCCCTATTTAATTCTCCTGTTTCCCCCTTCTTCTATTTATAACACTACTCTATTGCTCCTTCTTTGCAATATCTTACTCCTGGTTCCTTACTAGAAGCTTAACCTCTATGGTTATTTGGATCGAAACACACATATCTAAAGCTTAAAAAGGTGCACCAACATATTATAATAGAAATACAATAATAGACATACAGCATTTGTCTGTGGGGTCTGGGTCACCTCATGCATGGTGATGGTTTCTAGCTCCATCCGTTTACCTGCAAATCTGACTTTTCTTAACAGCTAGACAATATTCCATTGTGTAAACAATATACCATGTTTTTACACCACATTTATACTGCTACACATCTAGGTTGTTCCCAGTTTCTGGCTGTCATGAACAGAGCAGCAATGAGCATGGGTGAGCAAGGGTCTCTGCAGTAGGATGAAGCATCACTTTGGCGTATATGCCAAAGAGTGGGCTAGCTGGATCTTGAGATAGAGTGATTCTCATCTTTCTGAGGAACTGCCACACTGACTCCCATAGTGGCTGTACAAGTTTGCACTCCCACCAGCAATGGGAGTGTCCCCTTGCTCCACATCCCACCAGCATCAGCTGCCATTTCTTTTGTTCATCTTGGCCATTCTGATTAGGGTGAAATGAAATCACAAAGTAGTTTTAATTTGCATTTCCCCAAAGGCTTAAAGTTGTCAACGTTATAAAAAGTATTTTTCAGACATTTGTGCTACATCTTTTGGGAATTCTGTTTAGTGCTATACCCTATTTGAAATTGTTTTTTTTTTTTTTTCCTTGATGTTCATTGTTGTGTGTCTGTATGTGTGTGTGTTTCAAGATAGGTTTTCTCTGTTCAGCCCTGGCTGTCCTGGAACTCTGTAGAACAGGCTGGCTTTGAACTCAGAGATCTGTCTGTCTTTACCTCCTGAGTGCTAGGATTAAAGGCATGCACCACCACTGCTTGGCAATGTTCAATTTTTTTTTAAAGTTCTTTATACATTCTAGGTATTAATCCTCTCAGATGTATAATTGGTAAAGATTTCTAAACACTATGTAGGCTGCCACTTTGCTGAAATGATGATGTTCTTTGCTGTAGGAAGCTTTTCAGTTTCATGAGGTCCCATTGATTAATTGTTGATCTTAGTGCCTGTGCTACTAGTGTTCTGTTTAGAAATCCCTTTCCTGTGCCCGTGAGCGCAAGACTATTCCTCACTTTCTCATCAGATTCAGGGTATCTGGTTTTTAGAAAGTTCTTCCCTGTGCCCGTGAGTTCAAGACTATTCCTCACTTTCTCGTCAGATTCAGGGTATCTGGTTTCATGATGACATCTTTGGTCTGTTGGAGTTGAGTTTTGGGCAGGGCAGTAAATAATTGATCTATTTGCATTCTTCTACATGCAGACATGCAGTTTGATAGGCGCCATTTGCTGAAGATACTGTCTTTTCTCCATCGTGTATTTTTGGCTTCTTTGTCAAAACTCAAGTGTCTGTAGATGTGTGGGTTTACATCTGGGTCAACAATTTGATTCCATTGATCAGCATGTCTGTCTTTATGACATGCAGGTTTTTATTACTATAGCTCTGTAATACAACTTGAAATCAGGGATGGTGAAACCTTCAGTTTCATTGTTCAGGATTTTTAAATGATATCCTGAGTTTTTTGTGTGTTTCCATATGAAAGCTTTTGTTTTCTTTTAAATTTTTATGAAAAATTGTTGGGATTTCAATGGGGATTGTATTGAATCAGTAGATCGCTTCTGGTAGGATAGGCATTTCCACTATATTAATCCTATTGGTCCATGACCATGGGAGATCTTTCCATTTTTTTGATATCTTCAATTTCTTTCTCCCATGTCTTGCAGTTTTTAAATGATTTATTATACTTTGTTTTATATGCGTCAGTGTTTTGCTTGTATATATTCTGTGTGAAGGTGTCGGATCACCTGGAACTAGAGTTCCACACAGTTTGAGCTGCCATGAAGGTGCTGGGAATTGAACCTGGGTCCTCTGGAAGAGCAACCAGTGCTCTCAACCACTGAGCCATCTCTCCAGCTGCCGTCTTGCTTTTCTTAGTATACAAATCTTTCACTTGCTTAGTTAGAATTACCCCAAGGTATTTTTTTTTTTTTAATGAGCCTAATGTGAAAGTCATGGTTACCTGGTTTCTTTCTCAATCTGTCAGTTGTATACAGGAGGGCCACTGATTTCTGGGTGCCCATGTTGTATTCTGATACTTTGCTGAAATTCTTTGTTAGCTGTCTATGCTTCCTAGTAGAGCCCTTAGAGTCTTTTATGTATAAAATAGTACCATCTGCAAGTAAAGATACGTTGATTTTTTTTTCCTTCCCTATTTGTATCCCCTTGATCTCCTTCAGGTGTCTTATTGGTCTGATCAAGTCTTGAATATGTATAGAGAGAGTAGACAATGCTATCGTGATTCTGATTTTAGGGAGAATGCTGTTGACTGTTCTCTGTTTAGGATGGTGTTGGCTGTGGGCTTGTTGTAAATGACCTTGTTTATGTTGAAGAATGTGCCTTTTATCCCTAGTTTCTCTAGGACTTTTATCATCCCAGGAAGGGATGTTAAATTTTGTCAAGGGCCTTTTCTGTATCTAATGAGACGGTCATGTGGTTTTTGTCTTTCAGTCTGTTTATGTGGTGGATTAATTTATTAATTTACACATGCTGCACCCTCCCCGAGTCTCTGGGATGAAGCCAGCTTGACTATGGTGGGAAACCTTTTTGATGTGCTCTTGGATTTGGTTTCAAGAATTTTGGGGGCCGAGGACCCGCCAGCTGAGCCCGCTGCCGCCGCCGCCATGGGCCAAAACGACCTGATGGGTACGGCCGAGGACTTCGCCGACCAGTTCCTGCGAGTCACCAAGCAGTACCTGCCTCATGTGGCACGACTCTGCCTGATTAGCACCTTCTTGGAGGATGGCATCAGTATGTGGTTCCAGTGGAGTGAGCAACGTGACTATATTGACACCACCTGGAGCTGTGGCTACCTGTTGGCCTCATCCTTTGTGTTCCTCAACCTCCTGGGACAGTTGACTGGCTGTGTTTTGGTGCTGAGCAGGAACTTCGTGCAGTACGCCTGCTTTGGGCTGTTTGGAATCATCGCACTGCAGACAATTGCCTACAGCATTTTGTGGGACTTGAAGTTTCTGATGAGGAACCTGGCTTTAGGAGGAGGTTTGCTGCTGCTCTTGGCAGAGTCCCGCTCAGAAGGGAAGAGCATGTTTGCTGGTGTTCCCACCATGCGTGAGAGCTCCCCCAAGCAGTACATGCAGCTTGGAGGAAGGGTCCTGCTGGTCCTGATGTTCATGACCCTCCTTCACTTTGATGCCAGCTTCTTTTCTATCGTCCAGAACATTGTGGGCACAGCTCTGATGATCTTAGTAGCCATTGGTTTTAAAACCAAGCTGGCAGCTTTGACTCTCGTCGTCTGGCTGTTTGCCATCAACGTGTATTTCAACGCCTTCTGGACAATCCCGGTCTATAAACCCATGCATGACTTCCTGAAGTATGACTTCTTCCAGACCATGTCAGTGATTGGAGGCCTGCTCCTGGTGGTGGCTCTTGGCCCAGGGGGTGTCTCCATGGACGAGAAGAAGAAAGAGTGGTAACAGACAGATCCCTCCCCTCCCTGGCTGAGGCACAAGGCCCTGGACTGGTTCAGGGTAGACAACAAACTGCCAGCGTTTATGTGTCCTCTTCCCTTCCCTTCCTTTGGTAAAGGCACAGATGTTCTGAGAACTTTATTTGCAGACACCTGAAAACTGAAGGTAAAATCTGCTTTGGAAACAGTCTGGAGTCTAACTATCCAGGGCTGGGCAGCTGGATGGTCATTCCTTAGCCAAGGATTCGAGTAGACAGTGTGGTGGGCTATGGCCTCAATCCTGTCTTTGAGTTTCTTTTGAGGGATGAGGGCCTTCAAGTTGTACTGAGCTATACTTTATCATTCAAAGCAGTTTCCCTTTTAGTTTTAAGTTTACATCCTTAGCTCAAACTACTAAATGACTTAGGATGGTCCAGCCAAACACCAAACAGTTGAAACCTCCAGTTCAGAATCCTACCAGTGGCCCAGCATTGCTTCTGCCCCTGTATTTTATAGGATCAATGAAGATGTTAGAGAAACCCCAAGCCTAGAGAATAGTAAAGTATTGGAGAGGTGGCTGCTACTGCTGGCCCAAGTCCTTGGTGTCAGCTGGCTGAATGCTGTTTCCTGGGTCAAAGGTACCCTGGCTCCAAGCAGGGATGGGATGGGTCAGGGGTAGGAAGTTCTTGGAAAGCTGCTGGTTTAGGTACTGCTATCCCCTCCAGCTTGGTGGTGGGAAGGGCAGGAGATCCAGCTGCTCACAGGATGGCCCACCACGGAACCAGCTTGGGGAGCAGTAATGCCATGGGGCCCAGAAATGAGGAGCCCCAGTACTGAAGTGACACCCAGGCTCAACCCAGTTACCTCACACTTGACCTTCTCAGAGCAAGGCCTGGACCCCACAGACCGTGCTCCCCCCAGCTTAACTCCTTGTTCCAGGCTGAGTTTACCCCATCGACAGCCCTGATGACACCATTTCCCTGAGGCTGTTGCTTGCTCAGATTTTTGTCAACTTGCTCTGCTGGATGCAGCCAAGATACTTTTTACAATTTGTGATGCCTTACCAATTTGATCTCAGTCCTGTATTTAAAGTTTTCTAACATTGCCTTAAAAAAAAAAAAGAATTTTGGGGGGAACTTTTGTATTTATGTTCCTAAGGGATATTAGTGCAGTTTCCATTTTTTTTGGGGGGGGGTCTGTGTGTGGTTTTGGTTTCAGGGTAGTAGTGAGTTTGTAAAGAGAATTAGGAAACATTCCTTCAGTTTTGATTTTGTGAAATAATTTGAAAAGTACTGATGTCAGTTCCTCTGCCTGGAGCCTTCCAGCCCTGAGATGTTTTCAGTTGGGAGAGGTTCAGTCACTGCTTCCATTTCACAAGAGGTCATAAGTCTGTTTAAATAGTTTTTTCCATCTTGATTTAACTTTGGCAGGTCACGTATATCAAGAAATTTATCTATTTCTTTAGGTTTTCCAGTTTGGCTGAATATAAATTTTAAAAGTATGTCTTTATGATTCTCCCTCCTCTGTGTTTGTTGTGATGCTTCCATTTTCATTTCTAATTTTATTTTAACTTTGATCTTTTCTCACTGTCTTTTGGTAAATTTGGCTGAAGGTTGTTCATTCTTGATCTTTTCAAAGGACCAACTCATTGTTTAATTGATTTTTTTATATTGTTCACATGTTTGTATGTTTCTACTTTATTTCAGCCCTGAGCTTGATTATTTTTCTTCCATTCTGCTCTTTTTGGGTATCAATCCCTTGTGTTTTTCTGAAATGTATTATTAATATGGAATTTATCCAGGTTTTAAATTTAATTTAAATTTTTTAGATTTATTTATTTATTATGTATACAACATTCTGCTTCCATGTATACCCACACATCAGAAAAGGGTACCAGATCTCATTACAGGTGGTTGTGAGCCATCATGTGGTTGCTGGGAATTAAACTCACAACCTCTGGAAGAGCAGTCAGTGCTCTTAACCACTGAGCCATCTCTCCAGCCCCTAATTTAATTTTTTTTTTATGGACACTCTTGGTGCTATGAGCTGCCTTCCTTATATCCTAGAGGTCTGGAGCCAGTCCTGGAATACTTTCTGTAGATCAGGTTGGCCTTGAACTCACAGAGATTCATAAAATTTTTTTTAAAGACTCAGACTTGAAATTCAGTCCAGGGAGAGAGTCTCCTGACTTACTGACCGACCTTCCCACATGTGCGTATTTCTCCCTTCCCTGGAGTAAGGATGCAACAGGAGCAACTAATTGAAGGGGAGACACAGAGGATTTTGAAGAGACACAAAATTCACTAGTGTGTTAAAATAGTCTTTTGGCCACATTGTAACATGACTCATGGTTTTGAGAACAAGATATTTACATGCTACAGTTGGTCATTTAACAGACATCCTGTGGTCTACATTTTCACAATCATAATAAATATGACCACAGCACACACGGTGTCCAGAGCACTTCTCAAAGCCGGGCTCATCGGGTTACCTTCTCTCACAGAGGTCCTTCCATCAGCTCGGTAGAAGGCCTGGAGACAGAATCCTGTTACGCTATAGCAAATAAATATACGATTTTTGACACCAGCCTGTATGGACAAGATTCATACATGTTCAAAGGTCAATTTATCTGTAATAAAAATTATTAATTTATATGACTGACTACTAGGGTAGAGGCTGTTGTCTTGGGGTGTGGGCTTCTTAATGTGATGGAGGCCTGGGCCTGGGCAGAAAATCCATCTTACAGTCCCAACATTGCCTCCCACCAGTAATGTCACTTTAGGGTAATGTTGATGTGTAAATACACAATACCTGGTTAGATTTCAACTTTGAATAAGAGGTTGTATTTATGCTAAAAGGTTATTTGGTGCATATCATCAATTCCACATGACTTAATTTTAGACCAATAGGATTTGTTTTTAGTATAATATAATCCAAATACTACTTATTATCTGAAATTCTAATTTAGCCTCTTTCTCTTCCCACACTGCACTGTAACAGGACCCCAGACTTAGTCGGCCCTTAAACCTTAGCACAAATGATTCCATGGTAGAACTACCATTCAGGCCGTAAAGCTCAGCACATAATGGCACTGTCTGCTAGAGCTAAACAAAGACCACATCCACCAAAGTCCACAGTTCTGAGAAAGACTCTAAAGGTACTAACCTTGCCTTTTGGCTTCTGTAGTTCTGCTTCTGGCTAACTGTTCTTGTTAACGGAGGTATGTCAACCCAGGACATGTTTTTTGTGCTCAACTGTTCACCCTGTGAAAGGCTCAGTGTGATCCCTGAACTGAACACTGGGATCCTGACCACTCAGTGTAGTCACTGGTTTTCCTCTGGTTTAATCCTGTGTCCGAGCAGTCTTCTCTGCTGCCAACAGCTGCCGACAAACAATTCTACTTTGGACAAGTCATGCAAACTCTAGAAGCTTCACTTTCTTCATTTGAAGCCTTAGACGTAATCCCATTTGCCTTACAGAGCCGAGAAATGGATCAGACGGGGTTTCAACAGTTTCTACAATGATTGAGGTCCTGTGGCCCTATGCATTTGAGATCACGGTTATAATGCAGGCAGGTCTACATGGGGTGAGACAAACCGTGGTTTTAATTGTTCTACTTTGAGATAAGTGCTCTTGGATACCCAGAGAGTGGGATGATGATGGCATCTACCTCATGGTGTTCTTCCATGGTTTCAGTGGGTTAATGGATGCATAGACCTTGGCCTGACCCAGGTGTGGTGAACATACCCAGTTGTTGCTAGTTAGTTACCTGTGTGTAATATCAGTCGTTGCTAGTCAGTTACTACTACAGTTGTGCCCTGTGTGTAATATCAGAATGAATCCAGGATATCTGGAAATGGATCTGAATCAAAAACTAAGTGCTGTGGGCAATGTATTTGCCTCTAGTTAGTTATCTGAAGGGGACAAGAATTGTCAGAGTTTATCTGGAGAAGACATGTAGGTTTTTTTCTGAGTATGTTAAGAGACAAAAATAATGCCTTCATGAGCGTTTTTGAAGAACCTACAATTCTGCCCCAGACTTCAGTCTGTTTCTATAAACTCAGAGGAAAGCAACGGCCTTGGCCTGTTTCACTGCAGGCGAAAACATCCTTTATAAACAAACCATGGGCCCACAGCAGCCTCAGATGAATTGACAGCCTGAGGCTACGACTCTCCCTGTTTATTAAATGAAGTAGGCCCAATCTAGGTCAGAGCATTAGCAAATGGGGAGCCAGCCTTGGCCTCGCCAGATTTCTCTAGATCCCTGAGCTCAGAGGGAGATAAAAGAATTAATCAAGCAATGCCTGGCAGGGGTTTCTGGTTGGGGGGGGGGGCGGGGCTCTGATACTTTTAAAATAGAAAAGCATTGAGAAGTAGCCGCCCAGACCCTGCAGAAAGAGGAGCCAGATACGATTCTCATTAGCAGTATTTTTTAAATTTAATTAATTTTTTTTTAAAGAAAACTATCTGGGTGGAAGCTTCACCCCAGTCCCTGGCATCCCTATACCCAAAAAGCCTCCAGTGTTTGGGTGGAAAGTTCCATCCCAAGCCCCCTTCTGTGGGAGTTGCCTCAGTCCAGACTCCATCTCCGAGAAAACCGCCAAATGACGACCCCTCCTCAGGGATGCTCAAGACCACAGGCCATTTAAACTGCCCCCTCAGGGAACAAACACGTGGGCTTTTGATCTTTCTCTTCCCTCTCTTTGGTTTCCTGGTCTTCCCTCCCCATTTCCTCTCTGAGGGCCTGGAAGACCACCCAGGAGCACCGGGCTTTTTCTAATTCGGTTTGATTTGGTCTGATTCGGATTATTGCGTTGACGGAGAGATTTATTGGGATGTAAAACCTTTTCACCATCCTTTTTCATTTTACATACCAATCCCAGTTCCCACTCCCTCCCCTCCTCCCATTCCCTCCACCTCCCCTCCACTCCTTAGAGAGGGTAAGGCACATTGATTTGAGGAAGGACTAAAGCCTCCCTACTAGATCTAGACTGAGCAAGGTATCTATCCAAAGAGAATGGGTTCCCAAAAAGCCAGCACATGCAGTAGGGATAAATCCTGGTGCCACTGCCAGTGGCACCACAGTCTGCCCCAGCCATACAAACAACTGTCACTCACAATCAGAGGGTCTAGTTTGGTTCTATGCCGTAGCTCAGGTAGACTGTTTCAGTGGGTGTCCCCATCATCGTCTTGACCTCCTTGCACACACTCTTACTCTTCCCACTCTTCAACTGGCCTTTGAGAGCTCAGTCCAGTGCTCCACTGAGTGTCTCTGCCCTGCTGGATGCAGTTTCTATGGTGATATTTAAGATACTCATCAGTCTGACTACATGGCAAGGCCAGTTTGGGCCTCCTCTCCACTATTGCTTAGAATCTTCGCTGGGGTCATTCTGTGGCTTCCTGGGAATTTTTCTAGTGCCAGATTTCTTGCTAGTCCCTTAATGGCTCCCTCAATCAAAATATCTCTTTCCTTCCTCCATCTCGACTATCCCGTTCCCTCAAGTTCTCCTTCCTGCTTCCCTTTAGCAATAATTTAAAATGGGTTTTAAGTAAAAAAAAAAAATGCAGGTATTTGTTTAACTGAATCTTATGGACCATCAGAACTGGCTTTGCAAGAACCTTAGAAATTTCACAGAAAGTGAGCTGCTAACAGGGAGGGAGCAGGTCTCAGGACTGCTCCAGCTGACAAACAGGAAACCCAGCCTCCTCTCTCTTTGCTCCTCTCTAAGGTTCCAATATCCCCTCCTCTTGGGTTGATGGTATCTTTCTTT